GAGAATACAGAATACCGTTTCGTTTTGTTTCTTTATTAAATTTTGCTCAGTGGTAAGCCTGAAGGCTTATAAAGTATTACCAAGTTGAATGCTGCAATATCCTTCCGACTAATGCCAGTTTCAATACAGAATAGCGTTTCGTTTTGTTTCTTTATTAAATTTTGCATAAAGCTAGTCGAGGACTATCTGCACTAGCCGGTCTTAATTTTAAAGCGATATACAAGAGGAAAAGCAGCTAGTCATCAACATCAATCACCGACTCTTAAGCTACTTTTATCCGTCCAATCTGTGGAATCTTTACCGTCATTGCTGTAACGTGCCTCAAAGTGCATTGTGGTTTTTTGTTGTTGTTGTAAACGAGATTAAACCACAAAACCGCAGGTCCACACTCCAGCACACTAGCTAATGGTCCCGCTCGTCCCATTCCTGTTTCAAACAAGTATTATCCATCTATAATTTAAGCACTGTACGAACTAATCATATCAATGAAGTTAATCAAACAAAACGGATGTCGATTTTTTATGAGTGCACTATCATTTGAACTCAAATTTATATGTATGTGTATGTATAGTATTTCTTTCAAACAGATTTAGTTTTTGTTCTTATTTTGTAGGACAAAATTATCGTAGAGCAAGTTCTAAAGAAAATGTGGCAATATGGAGTTTTCATTCTCTTGAGATAAAAATTTAAAACCAATTTTAGATAAGTTTAAGCAAGTCTAATTACTTGAACAACGATTTACTAATACGCTCGTGCTAACTGTCTAGTGCTTTTTTGTTTGTAATTAAGCACAAAGCTACACAATGGGCTATCTGTGCTCTGCCCACCACGGGTATCGAAACCCGGATTCTAGCGTTGTAACTCCGCAGACATACCGCTGTTCCATTGGGGGGCGCATATTGCTAAAAAGGGAAGATTTTGTGTTTTAACTAGTAAATCTTAGAAAAGATCAATCTTGGGTTCTTAAGATTAACTATGATACAGTCCTAAGAGAACAATGTAGCCCCCCCCCAGTGGCACAGCGGTATGTCTGCGGACTTACAACGCTAGAAACCGGGTTTCGATACCCGTGGTGGGCAGAGCACAGATAGACTTTGTGTAGCTTTGCGCATAATTGAAAACGCTTTACAGGTTTTATACCAGGTCGTTTAAGTCACGCATGACGCAAGGTAATGTTCATGTTGAATACACAAAATACCTAGATCACCGCGAAGTCAGCCGAGGTCGGTCGACCTGGTTGGAATTTTGAAGTTAGATTTTTAAAGATATCTTTGTAAATATATTTTCAAATATCCTACATATCTGCGTCTAAAAGAAGGCAAACATTTCAAGGTATCTTACCTGACATATGAAGGAACTGAACTCTAATAACTTATGATAACTTCATGTTTTGAGGCAAAGAAACAATTTAAATACCTCATACCAATGCAAAGAAGCAAGAAATTTGCCTATACCTTGCCATTTTCATATATTCATACTTGTTGGGTCGCTGTCATTTAGTATAGCTTCTTTAAAAGAGGTCATATATCTTCACAATATGCAAAGACCATAATTTAATTATACTGAATCTTTAGTTGTTGTGATCTAAATATTTGCTAAAGTCTATTGATGTTTACTTAACTTATTTTCATATATTTCAAATTAGCAGTTTAAAATGATTACTAAAATATTTATTCAAAATTGAATTGTTTAATCTCAATATTAAATAGTTTTACATTTTATAATTGATAATTAATTAGTTTTTAATAATTTTCATAGAATGTTTCGCCGATATTTTGCACACAGGTCAAAGATTACTTGCATTGAGGTTAAAAAAAATAACATTTGGTTTATAGCCAGTATTAACTTTTTCTCTTCGAGATATACACAGTATTTTGTTCTTCTTTTCAAATGACATTCTACATATGAATGACTTATGTGTGATTGGAGAAATAAGACGCCTAAGCGGTTTACGATCCAATTACGTGGTATGGTCCAGGAGAAGTCTTCTCATGGACAAAAGTATTTTGCTGCTAATGAGAACGACGAAGTCCATTAAGCAATCTGGCTGCAGGTTTATGGAGAACTGCAGTCAGGGATTTCCAGTTTTCTAGCCTTATTAATATTCTGAAGCTAGACTTTCGTGCGCAAGAGCAATAAATGATAGAGGCTTTAGTAGTGACTAAGTGACTAGTCTATGAGACGGAGTGAATAATTTTCTACAAAACATTAGATATTTGCAAATCAGACGATACTAATCGGAAATGCATTGAATTGAAAGATGAAATAGGTTTCACATTTGTATTCGTGAAATACACTAAATAAATCTTGTACAATGCTATAACAAAAAGTATGAAACACTATAGAAAGAGAAATAAAATAATATTATTTTCATAGACCTTGAACTTTGATATGCAGATTTATACTCAATGCCTAAGTGTATACTCTGGTCTAGAAAGGGTTGCATCAGTAATCAGAAGACGTTGTTGATCAATCAGGAAATAACGAGAGTACTGTCTTATAGGGTTTCACATCAGCTAATGAGGTAGAAGATGTGGATAATATATATGTGTGGAAGCTTAGGAAGAGTCATATAAGAAAACATCATTAGAGTAACAGCATGACAGTACCAATGATTGTTCTAGATGCTTCGGTAATCCAAAAAACATTATCGTATTCTACCATTATTTCCATGTTTTGCTTTATCTGGATGGGTTATTATATCGTCTTTGCAAGTATGTGAGTGACTCAAGGAATATTTGTTCCCAAATTCAATATTAAATTTAGCACATGTTAACCCCTTATGCAGACTACGTATGCATTGATTAGGTAAGTGGAATACGGAACATTTTCCCAAAATTACATGTTCACTTCATTAATAAAAATAATAACTTGATATTAGCTCGGTGTAATTTAAATCTTTATACAAACGAATTTCAAGTGATAACTAGCGAGTTTGGTAGAAATATCGAAACAATAGTGTATCAAAATAAATACTTATCCTAAAATTAATTATTAGTTTATACTGTTTACCAAACATCTCATATTAACACAAAATAATCGAACCCCTGTTTACTTATCATAGTAATTGCAATTTATTACGCGCGTGGAAACTTCTTACAGCACAGAATTTACGTATCGTTTTTATTCAGACATAAAATTTAGAATTTTCATCCTTCTAAATTCGAAGTTGATTTGATTAAAGAGCATAAAATATATATATATTGAAAAAGTAAATATTAATTTCATTTCTTCAGATCCCACCATTTTATTAACTCGGTGTAACGTGAACTTCTAATTTCCATTAAAATGAAATTAAACGCATCAACTATTTGTACCAGTCTAATGATGTCTTCATTATCTACTATTTAATTAATAACGTTTTAATACACACGAGACACAGAAAAGTTACAAATTAAAAGTCATAATTCCAGTAATTCACAGAACACAAATAGGTTGGTGTGATAGAAATTATTTTGTGGTTTACGTTTAGTTTTTAATACATCTAAATATCAACGTTTTCTTATTCGTTACCAAGTTTCTTGGTTTAACCTCTTTACTCTCTGTGCCACAACATAAAGTCTAAACGAGTTCTGTCAAATATTAATCAAATATTGTTAAGTAGAAACCTAAATTTTACAAAGTCATATCTTTATGTTGCCTTGTTTCAACCACAGTAAAGAATATGGGACATCCTTTATGAAGGTCGTTGCTAGAAACAGGATAGCCCCTTCATGAAATTTCAGTTGCCCTCAAGCTAATGTATCCATTAATCTAATTCTAGATTAACCTTAGATTTTTTCCGCATTATATGTCTCACTGTCTTCACTTCATTTAGTAAAAGCAATATCGGTACTGTCTTGCATGCAGTAAGACTGATATAAAGTTACGTATGGCAGATGAAATATGAGTACTTATATTTTAAAACAATTTGGATGGTAATAATGCATTTTTAATACATTTTGACTGCCGGTAACATTTTATTAATTTTCGGTCTCAATCCAGCTAATAACAGATTTTATACTTTGAATAGTCTAGTGTTTTATAGCTTGTGGAGATTTTCATTTACCGACAAAAGAAGTTTATTTAGACACAAGACACCGAAAACAACACATAGCTGTAAACAGCTACAGAGATAAAGAGAAAACTAAGTGAATAATCAAATAATGCTCGTGACATTAAATAATATCTGGTTTAGTGGAGCATTTATTTAATAAACAATAATTTTCAGCACATTTCTACATGAAACCTGTAAAACATCAGTACATTTAATTACTTTACATACTAAGCCGTAATAACTATGAAGAATTTTCACACCTTCGTGCTCCGGCTAGAAACACTTCAAACATTTCACACCATTATCCGTTGATATAACTACTATTATCGAGAAAGACCCATCTAATAATAATAATACGCCATTATCCAAATTTTTTTTATCTCCGTGAGAGAATACAGGCAACCTAAAAAGGAGAGCAAACAAGAAAAGACATGAGTATAACGTCAATATATGGACAACCGTTAAAACCATTGTTACAGTCAGAGAAAAAACATTAGGTGGCGAACTTTCGCCCAATATAATTTTATTTCCCTACAAAGACTTCAATGAATTTATTTGTATTTTAGATTTTATCACGCTATAGCTACGCTCTTTTGTTATTAATTGATTAACTATAGAAATTAATAAATGGCTAAAAAATTAAATAGCTATTTCACTACACGGAATGTACACGTATATATCATATGTTCTAATATATTTTATGTTATTGTTTACAATGAATAAAAACAGGCGTAATGAGATGAAAAGGTGATACTTTTCTATTTATTTTTTTTGTAGACTAACTTTATTTACCCAACAAAAATAGCTTAAAATAATTTCATTTCATCATACTTTTTATTATATTTCATTTCATTATGCAACTTAATTTGTCAGCTCTTCGTTATTAAAATTTTCGTAACTTTTGCTCATTTAATCACAACTGTGAATTATCACGTAAGTGTATAACATCATTCTATCATTCAAATTTAATTCTTCTGGCTTTTTACCATTTTGAACTTTACTTCTTTGTCTTTAGAATACATAAGATTTATATGTTATCCCTAACAAACGTTTTTTTAAAAAATCTTCCATTTCCAACAAGTAATCTACACTTGGACAGTAATCAAATGGTCCAAAAAAACTTTATTTTAGAAAGAACTTCTGATCCAGCAGTACTGAATACTCAAAGTATATTGGAATTATTTAACTTGTCAGATTAATTTGCAAGATCAACTAAAGCGAAATATCAGTATTATAATACGTAAAAATGAATTTTGAATCAAGATTTTTTCTACATAAAATAAATCTTGTCTCGGTGTGTCTCCAACTTTCAATAACCAAAATAAAATAAAACAATTCGTCACTCTTAAAACTGGAGGTCTAGGTGTGAAGATCCTCTTTTTGTATCAAATTGTTCTCAACTTTTAATTGCTTTAAAAAATCCTAGTTTGCAAATATTATAAAGAAAGTGTTTGACCTTAATGTGGCCTTGACCTTTCAAATATATTTGCCAAATTCAAACAATTAGTCCTTGAGAGATATTGATTTTTTTGTGCGAAATTTCACAGAACTTAGATGATAATAACGGAGTATAAAAATATTCTTCTTTTTTGTAACTGGGATGGTATTTAAGAAATGATAAGTTTATTCATTAAGTTGCAAAGTTACAAATATTAGTTCTTTATTCCAATTATTTATGAAACGTGGAATGTATATAAAATCTAATGGACTATCTTAATAACAAGAATCATTGAAAGATGGTGCTTATTTGAAATTCATATTATTTGGTGTAAGTTACTGAAACTGCATTTGTATAACTTTAAATTTTAGGCAGGTTTTTTCGTTGCTTTTGGTGTCACTGAAATTTGATAATATCTTCTTTTTTTAAAGTTATGTCGTAAAAATGTTTATATTTCCATATAGCAAACTTGTTACCTAGTTTCTTTGCAAATCTACAGTTGCCATGACAAACCCATCGACACCAATAATAGCAATACCAGTGATCATACTTAATGACTCTGCATTGCCAATGACAATGGGCTTCAGTCTCAAGTACAAGTCCTAGTAGCATTAGGCATGAAAGGGAAATCGTTGTCTTGTTCTTGATGATAATCATATACAGAGGATAATATCGTGAACTTCAAATCTAGAAGGAAGAAAATCACGAATTTTGTGTCTCAAGAAAAATTGGCCTATAGTATTTCACACAGAAATAAATTGGGTAAAATGATATAGAACTCTAGTAAGAAGAAATACAGTTCACGATCAAATATATTACACATGTATTTTTATACACCGTTTCAGAAAAGAACCTCATAGTTACTTCGTCTCTAACCACCTTGGAAGTTCTAATACTAGCAAGTGATAAAGGAAGAACGAACTACTCCGTAGAAAATGTACAATACTCTATCCGACTACTATATCATATGTATATTTTCGTGTTTCGATATTGTAATAGCAAATGTAAATTTCTTTTATCATTCAATTCGAACGAATGATCTTTGACAAACCTGCAACTGATCTTTCAATTGACGAACACATAGATTTGAAAACATCAACTGAATTCCCAACACTTGACAGTTAGTTCAGAGTATTGTGTTTAAACAATTGCACACAAAGTTAAGTTCTGAAGTAAAAAAAGATGGTCATACTAACTCAAAAAAGTACACATTGATGAATGTAAACAGCAACCTAAGGTAAATGATAAGATAATAGAATATGTTACTTTTGTTCATGCGCGCACGACGATATAGTGTTGTTGCGTATTAGAGTCGAATAAAGAGTTGTGTCACATGATTTTACTTTTATTGTGCACAATATATTGTTGTATCGTCGTATCATGAAATATTCTTGGAAGTGTTTGAAGCATCACTGGTTACTATAATAATAAAAATACTTTTTTAATTGTTTTAAAGTAGCACAATAATGTGATAACTTGTCTCTTTACTGGGAATTTCCCTACACATTTAAAGCAAGTTATTCTTGATTCTTGTTATTTCTTTATATATAATCTTGTTCTTCATGAATTAAAAGTTTTTGGAAGCACCATAGACAATTATATATTTGATGTCATTTATTTATTTTTATAAAACGTCAAAGTATTTTATGTAGATAATGACAATTTATTATGTTAGGAACAGCTTTCTAATACATCGTCACAAGTCAATATACATATATCGAGATATGTGACTGGATAAATATATCCAAATTCCACATACTCCTAACGTATCACATCGGCAATAATATTTCGTCAGATTTTACCCAATTTATTATACACTTTGATAATTTATTTGCTGTTAAGTTCAGTTTTAGAAAAATTGTTAATATAATACGTTGTATAATACGGAATCGTAAAATGTGTCATATGCAACGCAATATATGATAAACGATTCAGATTATGAAAATAATTTAAGAAACAGATAAAACTTTCTCGAGTGATTGTCTATAATAAAAGTAGCACTTTCAAAAACTTTATTGACAGTAAGCTATAGATTATCCTGCTACTTTTAAGAAATATTTATTTTTAAAATGCGCAAAAGAAATCAATATTTGTTCAAAATTACTGAATATCTCAATGCTCGATCCGTGGTACCACTAGATACACACTCCACACTTTCAGCTGTGAGAATATTATAAAAGTGACATCTAGTTTCCATTATTTCTTTGAAAGAGTCAGACAAAACTTTTCTGGAAGTTCATGAGGCTGGCCAGTTGTCTTTCGTCTGGTTAATAGTTTGAAATTAAGATCCATGTATAACATAGAAGTAGATGTATAAGGAAACTTCAGTTCCTCCTTTACCTTTAATAGCACAGATAAATATGAAATTAAAATTAAAATTGCACTAAAACCAATACTTATGATATTTTTCGAAACATGCGAAAAACATAATAATTTATCAGAATCAAAATATTAGCTTGAGATACATATATGTGTAATACCTATCAAACCTGTTTTCGCTACACTTTTTTTTTTTTTATCCAGCTTCGAAACAATTTCTTAAGCATTATAAGCATATGTGCAATACCTACCAAACTTGTCTGGTGACTACTTTTTCTGACCAGCACTTTCAGTGTTATTAGTAGTGTATTTCACGAAGACAAATGTAAAGGTGTTCCAACTTTCATCTTTACGCAGCTCTGAGTATTGTCGTTTGGTTGGCATATATTGAATGCTTTATAGAGAGCTCTCTACTCAGTCTTGTTCTGTCATCTGTACTTCTTCGGAGAAGGAATACGATCAGAAATTGGGAAGTTCTTGACTGTGATTTTCAATACCTCTGTAGGTAGATTGAGACCTTGGACTTTGTTGTCTTCACTAGCAGCAAAATACTTTTGTTCATGAAAGGACTTCCCTTACACCATATCACGTACTTGGATCGTGAACCATCTTGGGCGATTTATTTCTCCCCTTATAAATAAGTCATGCATCTGATAAAGTTCTTACAAACATAATGTGAAATATATTGGAATCATGCAGATACTTCTAAAACATGCATGTGAAATATTTTTGAAATGTGGAACTGTTATGAATCTGTTAAATTTCAAGATAAGAGAAAATGTAATCATTATCTTGCTTCTTTTTGTCGAAATGAGGTATCTGAAATATATGTTTACTTCAAAACATGGAGGTATCACTAGCTTGAATATTTCAGTACCATCGACCAAGTAAGGCACACTAGAAACATTTGACTAACTTTAGACATTGACGTGAGAATATTTGAAAAGATTTAATTATCCTCACTCACTATGGTTTCATAATTAGGAAGAGTTTTAGTACCATTGTATTCAGGTTAGAATCAATTTAAACATCTTGTATCTGTATCCAATGACATAAGATAAGTGATCATTGTTTTTGTATCTTTATGTTCCACTAAACTGGAATATTGGTATTGTAACTTAATAACAGAAGGCTAATGAATATTTGACATATGTTTACAATTGTAAAATAATTATATGACAATCATTTAGGGAAATAAAATGTTTCTACTGAATAAATAGTTTTTCTGTTCGTGAGAGAATAGATGCAACCTAAAAAGAAAGCAAACAAGAATAAATATTGTTATAACGTCAATATATAGATAACTGTAAAAAAAAACAACTGCTACAGTGAGAAAATAACGTTTATGTGGACAGTTGTTTCAGCCTACATAATTCTTGCTCCCTCACAAAGACTTTAACAAATGTATTCGTATTTTCAGGTTTTATCATGCCGTATCCATGTTTAACTGTTATTATTACATTAATAAATAAGCTCTTTATTTTGACAATTTAGGAAATGCATAAAAATGAAATAGATATTCGAATACACGCAAATCTCATGTGTTCTAACAAATTTAATTCTATTGTTTACAATAAATAAAAACAGTTAGTCGAAACCACCCACCGCCGACTTTTGGGTTACTTATTTACTAACGAATATTAGGATTGACCGTCACGGGACATTATAAACATTAGAAAGAGTTTCTGGTCCAGCAATATAAGACGGTCAAGAGATATGTGGAACCATTTGATTTATCAAATTAATTTGTAAGATATACTAAAGCGTAATATCAGTGTTAGAATGCGCGAGCATAAACTTTGAATCAAAGCTCTTTTAAATACAATAAAAATATAAATATCTAACCTTAATCATCCTGCCTAATACACTATAATAAAAATGAAATATTTTCATCTGCCTATTGTTTCAGCTTAATAATATCTAAATGCATAACAATCAGCGTTATCATAAAGTGAAATGCATTGAAAAAGGATTCTTCGGGAATTTTGGTTTCGTATCTGAGTAAATATAAAACCTAGAAAGACACTCATTGAATGCAACCCTGTCCCGCTATGTCTTCAACTTTGCAGTAACCAACCTAAAATATACACCGAACTATTCCTTATCTTCAAAACTGTGGGTGTAGATGCAAAAATCTCTTTTCTATCGAAATTTGTTTTCGAGTTTTGACCGTTTATGAAAATCCCAATTTGCAACCATTATAACGAAAGTGGTTTACCTTCATTGTGACCTTAAACTTTCAGCTTCATTTACCTATATTTTTAATTAAAGAATGATGATGGTGCAAGGTGAACATTTAATTTTCAGGTCGTCATGAAATACATAGATCATGTAGATTTTAACGTGACATGTAACAAATTATCTTCATAGATCGGAAAAATATACATTTGTTTTGTTTATTTGTTAGTGAAAAAGTAATGATAAAAGTCAGTGTGAGCATCACCTGCGAAATAGGGATGAAACATAAACTATAAAACAATTGTGTTGTATGTATTTGTAAATCCTAACTCCTTAGAGAATTTCGAACATTTGCTGAAGAAATCTCTAATAATAGATGTTAATCAGTAGATAGACTTGAACTCTCTATCTTTTTATTATTTCCATTGATTCGGATCTGATGATGGCCTTATATGAAACTAAAATGAAAGGTGTGATTGTGTGAACACAAATTCGCATCTCTTCTCGTTATCAGTTGTTGTGAACGACAGAGTATTTCCCCTTATAGGTTAAACTCAGCACAGTTAGTGTTGAAACATGGGAATTACATTTAAAGATGTTAGAAGAAAATCCCGGTATGTCATAAGCAAAGAATATGTTGAAACATTTTGACTCATCATTGAATGTAAATAGTTCTGATCAACAAACGTTGTGGGAAAACCAGAAGTCCTCTGAAAAATAAAAGTATATATCACTATCGTTTTTAGTATTTGCTATTTTCAAACAGAAGAGAACTTTGCGTGTCGCATTAGATAAACAGTCAGGTTAGAGAAACTTCAAGCATACTTATCCATAATCTAAAATTGCTGGCTAAATGTAGCGAAAACATTCAGAAGCTCCTCCGCTTTTGCGGCTAATCCTAACCCAAGAGCAGGATTAAATGGTACAGCTATAATACCCATATAGCTGAAAGTGTGAAATGTGTTTATCGGCATATCGTAGCTCGAACTTTGGATCTTCCGATCACAACCCGGCACGATAGCCAGGCCCGGTACTTAGTTAACAACGCTTTAATAAAGATGTAAATAAGCAGCTGTTCTACAATTTCTGTATACGTTACAAACATTTTGTAAAAAGATTAACCATATTCAATGCTAATAATAATACAAGTTGTAACTACTCAAATTCTTAAGCAAAAGAGTCCATTAAATTAAAAATTACGATTTTGAATTATCTAAGACCCGGCATCACGGATGGTATGAATGTTAATGGCTTATGTAAAAACACCACCAATAGTAAAAGTACAAGATGAAATGGGTTAGCTTCAGACTGCGGGTTTCTTGAATTCCACTTTTATTTGGAATAGTTTAGTATAAATTTGAGAAATATAGACAAAGAAATAATATTAATTATCGAGCATCAATATTTCCTACTCAGTGGACCATGATTGGCTATGTGAAAGAGATCTATCTAGATTTTGAAGCTGGGGAGTCAGTTTCAAACAGGTGAGATGTCACTACGCTCTGTGGGTGCGTTATAAGAGTGACAGAAAATCATTTAGAGTGAATTGTGGGTAGTAGAATGCTGCTGAATTATTGCCTTTACTCTGGTCAGTAGTTCAAGATTAATGACGGCGACAAATACCTTAGCAGCTTTACCAAAATACAATACATTATCTCACTCAATATTTACAAACTATTGTCAGCAATTCATATTCAACATGTTTATTTCAAATAGTAGTATTAAAAACTCCAATAAACATTTAAAGTTAAGTTCATAATTTAGGATGCTGTATATAACAACTTGCGAAGTAATAACAGCATTGGACTAAATGAAATAAAACCGATGTTAATTTTGTAATAATTCAAATTTCAACTCAGCTTTATATATATAGTATTTCTTTCGAATGGTTGTAGTTTTTCCGACAATGTTCTTACTTTATTGACCGGAATGGTCGTAAAGAAAATGTGAAAATTATAGTAGTTTTCTTCTGTTTAGATAAAACTAATTATTAGTAAAAATGAAAATCGATTTTATGTAAGTTGAAGGAAACGTCTTTAGCAGAAATGCTGAATTGTTCACGTAGACCATTAGCTCATACATTTGACACATGAAAACAATAGTGAGTGGACTATATCACGACCTGAAGTGGAAGAAGAGGTATTACAAAATTTGATTTGAAGTGAAGGAAATTAGAAAGTACAGATCTGTAAAACACCGAAAGAGAGAAATAACTTCAAAATGTGACTACTTCAGCAACTATTCTTTAATGCATCTGTACTAATTTTCCAATGCGAAAAAATAGTTAATTTGTGATTTAATTAGTACTTTTTATATAGTTTGAGCCCGTGTGCTTACAATAATCTATGTTGCAATCCTGTAAGACATCTTAATAACCAAAATATAACCATAGAATGTTCTAAATGGAACAGACATTTTGATAATTGCTAACTTGCAACATATATAACAGTGCTATAAGTTACTTTTATATATATCTCTATGAAAATATTGAAAGTAGCATAACTGATAACCTTATTTATTGTTAAGCACAAAACTACAGTAGGATGCCTGTGCTCCGCTTATCGAGGGTTTAGAAATTCGCTTTTTAGTGATATCAGCTCTCATACTTAATGTTGAGTAATGGTGTGGCCAACGTGACATTGGAAAATTTAATAACAACAATTATGTAAATATCCATGATGTAGCCAGTAGTTGTTAATAAAGAACAAGTTTAACAACAAAGAAATAACTGGAAGAATCACTTATTTAGAACGTAATGGGAAACCAGTTCTTTTCTTTTACATGTTACTGAAGCCTGATTTGTTCAAAGTGCCAGGACACACTCTTACTGTTATACATTTTTTTAATGTTTCACACTTTTTTATGCTTTTATTCATTTCTCGAAAGTGCGTAATTACTCTATATCAGGTAAAATGAGTTGGTAATATTAAATAAGATTAGTATACATTCAACAACCTAAGGTAAAGGAAGAGCATAAACGACAATATAAAGATGTTACTTACGTTCTTAAACACAAGAGAACACAGCGTTGATGCGTATCAGAGTCAGATAGAGAATTGTGTACCTACCACCGTATATATAGAAACGTGAAGGTGGTCATGTGGTTTTTATTTCGTGGTAAACAATATATTGTTGTGTCATCTAACGATGAAAGGTTCTTGGAAGTGTTTAAAAATTTACCTCCTTTCTTTCCTCCTTCATATCCACAAATACCACGACATAGCCATCGACACCTGTAATAGCAATACAAGCGATAACACCTAATGAGTGTGCAGTGCCTGTACGAACCTGCTTCAGCGTTCAGTGTTATTCCAAGTAGCACCAGGCATAAAAGAAAAATCACTGACTTGTTCATGATGATAACCTATAAAACCATATCATATTAGTTGTGGTCAGATCATTCAAGTGTTTGGTTAAAAATTGGAAACTTCAAACTTAAAATGACTGAAATCTTATAGTTCAAATGAAACCTATTATCGCAAAAAGAAAACTACCCATAAGTGTTTCGAAAACAAAATTAGGTAAAAGATCAAAAAGTAGATGAACGGTTTATGATTAAACATGTTTTTATGCAACATTTTGAAAACAACCTCATAGTTAATTCGTCATTAACTGTACTGGAAGTTTTAATATTAATAATTTGACACATATAGAAATAAAAATTGGAACATGTACAATTGCTCTTTCCAGAGTTATGACAATGACATTATAACGCTAGAAATCTGGTTTCGATACCCGTGATGGGCAGAGCATAGGTAGCCCATTGTGTAGCTTTGTGCTTATCTACAGACAACCAAATCAAAAAAGTTTCACTTGACATAAAGTTAAATTCATATACATTAATTACAGCCAATGTACTTGATAGTTAGTTGAGAATATTGTGTTTAGATAATTGAATACCAGTTGAATTTTTCAATATGTATTTTTATAAAAACGAAATTAGAAACGTAAGGCCGTGTATTCTCTCAACCAATACATTCTATTGATTTCTGTGTTTTGTTATATATATATATATTCATAAAGTAAAAACTAACACCCGGAAGAAACTTATACAAGATATAATTAACAAAAGTTTAAACTAATTATACTCTCTGCTTCAAACATGCCACATGTCGCATTTCTCACTTCGTTCTTTTTGTGAATACGTAATCATAGTTATTCTGAGTTATACTAATCGGTTTGTGAAATATTGAAACTATTTATTTTTTACATGTCCATATTTTCTTCTGTAAATAAGTTAAATAACATCTATGTAACTTCAAAATTATAGGCAAGCTCCTTTTCATTGCTCTTAATGTCGTTGAAACTTTGACAATCTTCCTGTATTTTTAAATTGTGTTTTTATGTTGTAATATTAATATACTTTTGTACCAGATTATTTTAAACGTAAACTGAAACTTAAAATTAGTATTATAGTACTTAAACGTGAACCTTTTAGCTACAATAAATCCTTAAATATGTTCCTTACATTCAACTTTCGACGCAAGATACTAGGATAAAATACAATATTTTAATCTGCCTATTGTATCAGGTTGATAATACAACTATAAATTCATAATACACAGTGTTAGTGTAAAATGTAATGAAAAGCGATTTTTCATTGATTTCGTTTTTGTTTTTTTAAGTAGAACCTTTACTCGGCAATCATTTCAATTTTTGCAGTAACCATCCTAAGATATATACCAAACAATTCCTCATCAATAAATTGAATTTTGGAAAACATTCTGATAAAGTAGTACAACACGGTCAAGATATTTGGGGAACCATTTAAATGAAAATTCATCCGGCTTTTCTCCCTTTGGGAACTTCACTTCTTCATCTATAGAATACATAATATTTCTACATTCAATATTTCGAATGTCTTTCATTGTCAACAAGTGATCTATAGTTGGTTAGCAATCAAGTTGTCGGTACAAAACAGGTTATTTTAATGCCTTTTATTTCTAGAGTTAATAAGAAATTAATTAATTTGATGACATTTTTGATTTACTTAAAAACAAAAAACATTAAAAACACAGAAAAGTTTTTTACTTTTTCACTATTTTATTGTAGAAGAGATTTTTGTTAGTGAATGTAAGAGTATATGAGGCAAGGTTAACATTCATGAGAACAATCTATAACAGTCATTCAGAGAAATAAGATGCCTTTATTGAATATATTAGCCAGTACAACTGGTATCATCGAGACATACTCAATTAATAAAAAATCCTCATTGACAAAAACTAAAAGGAATAAATGGCTTGTCTCTCCATTAGGGAATAAAGACAATCTGAAAAGAAAACAAACAAGAAATATTATGAGTATAACGTTGATATACAGATAACTGTTATAAATCACTGTTAATTTAAAAAAATAAAATGCATGTGGTCAGTTGTTCGCCCACATAATTCCTGTTCCCTTAAGGAAACCTTTAACAAATGTACTTCAATTTTTATATTTGGTTATTAGCAAACTTAGATTAATAGCAAGTGATGCTTTAGATATTTTCAAAATTTCATGAATTTCTTAGGAGACATTTTTGAATGGATCTTTAAAAATCAAACTTAGTTACTTAGCTCAGAAATATTTCAAAATTATTTCATCTCATCACACTACTTCCAGTTTATGCGTAAAAGCTGATTTTTATTTCACTTCGTTTCCTATTATTGTCAACTTTTATAACATTTACTCATTTAATCACGGAAGATGATTATGACCTAACTGAAAATATACCACCTTCTGTATATAGTAGCCTTCTACCCAGCCACTTCAAATTAATGCTATTATAATATTCAATTTCACACGTGAATTGAATTGGTGGTTCTTTACTATTTAAATAACAAAAAAATTATTGTAGTTTGCTGACGTTTCGTTGTGAGAATATATAGGAGAGTTAGGTGGAGTTTTAAGGTTAAGTCCAGTTCTGTTAGAAGTCTTGCTTATGTGGGTGGCTTTACAGCTGAACCTTATACAAATTTAATAAAAAGCAATAGAATAGTTAAGAAATCGAATATTTTGTTAAACGATATTGAGATTGACGTGCTTAACAAAAGCGTGGGAATTGTTTTTAAGCTAATAATTTTCGAAAAGAGTTTATTACAGAAGTTGAAACATGTTTAAGTAATATTAAGAGTATTAGTGAAGTAGATAGTATTAGAGATGAATGTAATGAGTTAATAGATAATTCTAAAAATCAAGAAAAACTAAGACATACAGGTTTTAAAGTCATTGAGTGAGTTGGATATTGTGATCTGTAAATCCGAGAATGGTGGTTAATTACATATATAAAATAAAGAGGATTATACTAAGAAAGTTGAAGAGATGCTAGATCAAGTTAATTAAAGTATATATGGAAAGGCTAACAACAACCTTCCTAAAATTCGATGACGAGGAACCCACTTTGAGACTAATAATGGTTGGAGACGGCTTGAATGGGTAATGAAGAAAAACTTTAATATAAGTTTAACATAACAGCAAATGTACAATGTTTCGACAAGGTTTTGTCATCACCATTCCTAAAAGTTGGTTTTACGAAATGATAAAAGAAAAAGTTAAAGAGTGTATAAGTCTAATCTCGTAAAAGAAAAAAAATATTTGGTTACAAGTAGTTTTGTCACTCCAAGATTTTATGCCTTGTCAAAGGTTCATAAATAGGGGATTCTTATAGACCCATGGTTTCAAATATAAGTTCATCCTCTTACAATGTAGCTAAATTTATAGCGCAAATGTTTTCTTTTCATATTGAAGAAAAACATTTATATTATCAAAAATTCTATATATTTTTTGGAAGAATAAGAAAATTAACTCTAAATAATGACGATATGCTTGTGTATTTGGATATCGTATCATTATTTACGAAAGTATCAATTGATAAATATATTAGTTGTTTTGAAGACACATTATGAATGAATAATGTCTCAGTCATTGAATCTTTAGATGTGGTACATTTAACAAAACTTAAGTAGAAAATTCATTTTGTCAATTTAATAATAATATATATAAGCAGATTGAAGGCCTAATTATGGATCCGCCATTAATCCACTTCTTGTGTGATCTGTTAATGAATAGGTTTGAAAATGATGCATTACAGAAGGATAAATTTAAACCCTAATTATGGATTTGAGTATGTTGATGAAATTATCGTGGTGTGATGTCATGGTAAAGACAATTTAATAGATTTTGCTAACTACTTGAATTATGTCAAAGGAATTCACAAAAAAATGTCAGTGTTTTATTGTTTACAGGACATTAAAGTTATGTTCTTATGAAGTTAAAAAAGTAATTGTTACTTGTAACATTAGGTAGGGTTTTGCACCAAATATTGTTGATAGAGCCGTATGAAAACGTAGTAAAATTACAAATGATGATCATAAAAGCTAGCTAAAAATCAACATTTCCCACTCGTATAAACAGACCAAGGCCAATGAAAACGGTGTGAGTCAATCCAGGGTACATTTCAACTATTCAAAATTTAAATTATTTAACTCGGCTGCGGAATATTTCAAATTCGCAATATGTAACAATACTTACCACTTATGTCTTCTTGCCGTGCTTCGTCTAGGTTAGAAAATGTACCGTTATATTTGTTTTGTTTTCTAATGCTTAGACGTATTAGTTAGGAAGGAAGAATGTAACTTAGAAACATTAGTTTATAGAAAACCTTTTGCTGTTGTTATGCCGCCACATAAAGAATCATATCATATAAAAACCTAAAAATACCAGCATTTTATACATATGTTTATAGAGCTATAAAAATATGTTCAAGACAGTAAGATTTAAATAACGAATTGTTATTATTTAAGTATATAGCTAATGATAGAGGATTTGATCCAAATATAGTAGACAAAACATTTGAGAAGTTTAACAAAAATGCAAATTCAATTAAAAATACCACATTAAAATCTGCTTATGAAAAAACAAAAAAAGAAACTCTTACGTTCCAGGTTTAACAAGTCAATTATATAAAGTATTCAAAAAGTATCAGAATTTTTACCCTATCTTCAAACCAATAAATAAGATAAAAGATATGATAGGGAATGCTAACGACAGAATAGAATTAACAGATAAGACAGGTATATACAAGATAGAATGTGAATGTGGTAGTTTTTATATTAGTCACACTAAAAGAAATTTAAAATATAGATTGCAAGAACAAAAAAGTTCCATAAAAAATAATAAAATAGAAAATAAAATAGTAAAAACTACCCATATTTAGATAGTTCCAATATTTCCTGAACATTTTGTATTGCTGGATCAGAAATTCTTTCTAAAATCATGTTTTGTGCCGATTTCTATCCAATATGTATTACTTGTTGTAAATGGAAGATTTGTGAGAAAACGTTCGTTAAGGTTAATAGATAAATTTTATGTATTCTACAGACAAAACAGTGAAGTACGAAGTGACGCGTAAAAAACCAAATGACTTTTATTTGGATGAGTAGAAAGCCGCTATGCCAAAGGTAGTATATATTTATTTACGTGATGATTAACTGTCGTGATTAAATGAGTAAAAGTTACGAAAGTTTTAATTAAGAAGAGATGTAGTGAAACAGCTATTTCATTTTTATCCATTCATTAATTCCTCTAATTAATTTATCAATACACTAATAACAACACAATTAAATTTGTTAAATTCTTTGTAAGGAAATAAAAATTATATTGGCCGAAAAGTTCGCCACCTAATTGTTTTTATCTCACTTTAACAGTGGTTTTAACGGTTGTCTGTATATTGAAGTTGTACTAATAGTTTTTCTTTTATTGCCTTTTTTTAGATTGCCTTTATTCTCTAACGGACAGAGAAAACCATTTATGTCTTTTCATTTTTGGTTAGGGATATATTTCTATTATATGGATCTTTCTCGATAATACTAGTAATATTGGCCAAGACGTTCAATAAAAACATTTTATTTCTCTAAATGACTGTCACTGAATTATTTTACAGCTGTAACCATATGTCAAATATCCTCACATTTACAATAAAAACTTTTGGTATTAAGGTACATTGTCAATATTTCAGTTTATAAGATGTGAAAACAATGAGAAATTCTTTTGTATCAATGGATAATAGTATGAAGTGTTTCTAACCGGAGTACTTGTTACAATGGTACTGGTAAATGAGCCCAGATTATCAAAACAACTTATCTTTTGTTTGCGGTTAAGCACCTAATTATTCAATAAGCACATGTATTTGTTTGTTAAGCACAAAAGTACATAATGCGTTATTTGTGCCGTACCCACCACGGGTATCGAAACTCGGTTTTTAACTTTATAAGCTTTCAGCAAAGTTTAATTGTTTGTTATGAATTTCCTGCAAAGCTACACGAGGGCTATCTGCGCTAGCCGTCCCTAATTTAGCAGTGTAAGACTAGACGAAAGGCAGCTAGACATCACCAACCACCGCCAACTCTTGGGCTACTCTTTTACCAACGAATAGTGGGATTGACCGTCACATTATAACGCCTCCGTGGGATTTGAAACCGCGACCTGCAGATCGCGAGTCGATCGCCCTAACCACCTGGCCATACCGAGCCACCAAAATTTAATAAAGAAATGAATGCAATTTTCAAGACAAGCAATTCATAATGATAGGTTATAACGAAAATAATATATTCAAACAGATTATTAACAACAAGTTGTACATTATCGTGCTACTGAAACTGTGACAGTAAGAATAAAAAGTTTTAAGAAAATACAAATTTCTTGAAAAATAGTCAAATAGTCACAATTTGATAGAGGGTATTTGTATAGGATATTTGACCATTTGTAAAGGATATTGAATCTTATGTGACCTAACACGCTGAGCGACTGACGAAGAAGAATGCTCGAGTTCGGATGCCACTGAGAAGACTCGGCACTTCCAGCTGGTCGCGTGTTATAAAGTTATAAAAGCTACAATTAGTCTCTTGTTATGGTTCCAAAGAGCCAGACAAAACCATTATTGTGATTGTTTCATATATTGTTACGTATCATGAATTTAAAATTGTCCAAAGCCGAGTTAAATAATTTAAATTTAACAGTTAAATCGTATTCTGGATTTAGTATCTAGATATATGCTGATATCTATTCACGATATTTGCCAACAGGATTGATATACACCGTTTTCGTTTTTAACACAAATACTTTTTAATATATACACCACAGTACAATTTACAACAACAAGTATTACGAATAGTTACTAGAAACAAAGTTTTATAAACATAAATTTCACTAACTTACAAACAATATACAAATCTTTCGTCTAGATTTGAATGCCCTTGATATCTAGCGAGGTAACTTCAAGTCGATGTACGTATGATTGTCGGGAAGCTAGCTAGCTTTGTCTCATTTGTCACCAAACCGAATTGTTGGTCCGTTGAATTAAGACAATGTTTTCATAAAACTACTAACGTCCGTTGAGAATCCACTGATGTTCGAAATTTATAACTATTCCTGGTCAAATGTCTTAATTTTTTCGATATAAAAAGCTTTCGGAGTTTTTAGCACAACTGTTTATAGCGGACGACTTATAGGCTCTCCTTTTGGCGCGTCGCGTAGGCTGTTTTTATAGGCGCGAGAAAGATTTTCTCGAAAATTCAGACAACAATATTGAGCTATATTTAACCGGTTAGGGAAATAGATATATTGTCGATTCTTATGTTCACGAATCTTCTACAACTTTGGAAAATTGGTGAGAGTTTCGCAATACGTATCTGACACTGTAAGCAAGGCACGTTTTTAAATATAAACTCAATCCAAACGAACGTTGACATTAAAATAAATATATAACAAATTCATTACACGCAATACATATCTAGCACTATAAGCTACGCATATTTTTAAATACAAACTTAATCTAAACAACGTTCGTATTAAAATAAATACATGACAACAAATCAGTTACAATATTTTATATCAAATTACTTCACTAAAAATACAGTTAAATGAAATAGATACAAACAACACTATAACAAAAACAAATCGAGATGCAGCTATAAAACACTGATAGTGTAAGGTAACTTGATATTTATTCATATTTTACACTGAGATAGAATCTATATCCGATAATGAATAGCAGATCCATGGCAACAATTATAAACATGTGCACTACTGGCACTTGTGTTTAAAATGTTTAAAATTATAATAAATAATTAAAAACAACGTTTTATATTTACACAATAAAACTTTATTGAAGCCGTACGGCTTCCACTTTAAAATATCTCTCTACAAGTACATGTTTCGACGTGATCTACGTCATCCTCAGGAGTAACTTACAAGACTATTTTATACTTTCCCCCTTGTCGCATTACTTCATTGTTATTTACATATTTCCGTTATTATATCAAAAAAATATATATAATATATCTCGCCATATATCAACGTATTGAAATGCTGGTCCTTCATCTCTATTTAATACTTGTTTTTGTTTTTATATTTCATTATTTCTAATGTTTCTCTAATATTTAATGATATAAAACTATAATATATAATGATATATAAAGTTTTTTTCCATAATATTGTATCTTTCAGATTAATTTGTAAGATAAACTAGAGCGCACTATCAGTATTATAATACGTAAATATAAATTTTGAATTAAGACCTTCTAGATTTGAAGTTCACGATATCATCATCTGTATATGGTTATCATCATGAACAAGACAACGATTTTCCTTTCATGCCTAATGCTACTAGGACTTGCATTTGAGACTGAAGCCTTTTGCCATTGGCACTGCAGATTCAGTCACTGTGATCTCGTGCATTGTTATTACATTTGTAGATGGGAATGCCATGGTGTTGGTCCATTTGAAAAGAAACCAGGTAACAAATTTGCTATATGAATATATATATACTTGTTACGACATAACATTTAAAAAATAAGTGAATATTGTCAAAGTTTCAATGACATCAAAAGCAATGAAAAATAACTTGTTTAAAATCATATTTACACGGATGTAATCTCACCATCTTTCAGGGATACCTTTTATTAAGGTAATCCATTAGGTTTTATTTATTATCCACGTTTCATAAATAATTTTAATAAACAAGTAATGTTTGTAACCTTGCAACTTAATGAATAGATTTATATAGCCAATAATGTAGCAAAATGTCGTCCTAGTTAAAAATGAAAAATGATTTTATGTCACTCGGTTATTATCATCTAACTTCGGTGAAATTTCGCACAGAGATGGAGTATCCTTCAAGGACTAATTGTTTAAATTTTGCGAATGTAGCTAAAAGGTCAAGGCCACATTTAAGTCAACCACTTTCTTTATAATATTTGCAAACTGGGATTTTCAAACACAGTCATAGTTGATGACAAATTGATATAAAAAGAGGATCTTAGTACCTAAACCTAAAATTTTGAGGGTGACGAATTGTTTGGTTGATAAAGTTGGTTGTTGCAAACGTTGAAGACATAGATAGACAAGAATTATTTCGTGTAAAAAAAAAGGGTTAAAACAACTTCTAAGTCAATTGAAAGATCAGTTCTAGGTTTGTCGTAGATCATTAGTTCGAACTGAATGATAAAAGAAATCTAAATTTGCTATTAAAATATCAAAACACTTGAATATACATATGATATAGTAGTTAGAGAGAGTATTCTACATTTTCTACAGAGTATTTTACTCTTCCTTTTTCACAGGTTAGATTGCTTATATTAGAACTTCCAAAGTGGTTAAAGACAAAGCAACTATGAGGTTCTTTTCTGAAATATTGTTTAAAAATACGTGTGTAATATATTTGATCATGAACCGTATTTCTTCTTACTAGAGTTTTGTGTCATTTTACCTAATTTATTTCTGTGTGAAACACTAGAGGAACATTTTTTTAGACACACAATTTATGATTTTCTTAGCTGTAGCTTCTATAAACGCGTGCTAAATTTTGGTGAGCCGTACACCTTATACACCACACTCGACTTCAACATCCGGAGAAGGATCATATCCTATACGGCGAATCAACAGTTAATGGATTTAAAAAACATCAAATTAATTCACAACAATTGACAGTTAGTTCAGAGCATTGTGTTTAAACAATTGAAAACCAAGTTAAGTTCTGAATGCAGATATTTTGTTTATTTGTATTTCTATAAGAAGAAAGTTTGAAATTTGAGAGTCTGATTTCTCTTAAACAGCAACTACTTTAAATATGCTGCAAGTCGTAGTTCTCACTTCGTTCATTTGTTGCAGGAGGAATCGCAGATATTCTATGAATATTCTAGTTTATTGCCCTTTTTGTGTTCTAAGTCCGTAGTTACTTTCTACGGTTAGAGATTTTTAAAAGTTTCACACGTTCTTATTATATTTTTCCTCATTTCTTGAAAAAGCTCATTACTTTATATGAAGTAAAATGAGATGGTCATATTAAATCAGAGAAATACACATTGGTGAATGTAAAGAGCAAGCTAAGGTATAGAAAGGACGTATATAAATGATAAGATAATAGAATATATTACTTACGTTCATACACGCAGGACAGTAAAGAGTTGTTGTGTATTAGAGTCGAATAAAGTGTGATGTATCTACCACGGTATATATATAGCACCATAAAGTTAGTCATGTGATTTTTCTTTTAACGTAAACAATATATTGTGTGTCGTTTTATGATGAAATGTTCTTGGAAGTGTTGAAAATATTTCTTTCGTACGTTACTTTAATATTAAAAATACTTTTTAAATTTATTTTAAAGTTGCACAACAATGGGATAACTTATCTCTTTAACGGGAATTTCCTTACACTTTTAAAGCAAGTTATTCTTGATTTCAGTTATTTCTTTATGGATAATCTTGTTCTTCATTGACTATAAGCTTTTGAAAGCACCATAGACATTTATATATTTGCTGTTATTTATTTATATAAAACGTCAAAGTATTTTATGTGGACAATGACAATTTATTATGTTATATAGGAACAGCTTTCGAATACATCGTTTTAAGCCA